GTTCAACCTGGTAGATTCAGTCCAGGCAGGTCCAGTCCCCTCCTCCCAGGCTGAGCCAAGTGTCCCTGTATAAGCCCCAGGTTCCAAACTGCCAGTTCAGGCACTGAGGACAGGACCTGGTCCCATTGTCTGAATGCCTCCCAAGCAGACTGAGCTAATGCAGTAAGAATGCTACTGACTATGGGTCATGTGCCTGCACTTGCTCAACAGCACGTCAACTCTGATCTGATTTATGAGTGGGTTTCTATACAGTCTTTCCACACAGTGATATGCATAACATATATGAATAACATCCATTTGGCACTCAGAGCATTTTCTCTTGTTTTAGTGGCATTGAGACTTCCTGTGTGTATTTCTCTCTGTTACTCTGTGACCATGGCATGGATTATGAGGAATACCCTTTGCTTCAGGCATTCCCTAAGGAGCCCTTTATCAGAAAAGAGCTCAGTACTACTAGCTGAAGGGCAGGAAAGGTAGAAGCTCCGTCTGGGAGCTTCACCTTGTTATTCGGCATCCTCCTTTACCTCCCTCCTGTGGAGATCTACTGTGTACCCTAATAAAATTTGCCTGAAGGTCAGAGAGACAAAGAAACAAGCCACATCTTATCTCTAGAACTTCTCAGCCTGAAAAAGCCTTTAGTTCCTGTCTTCTCACACCTGTATACCTTTCTCCACGCAGCCATTAAAGGCACGTGTGCTTCCCAAATACTAGGATTAAAGGTGTGTGCCAGCACTGTCTGGCTCTGTTTCTCTCCTAGACTGAGTCAGTCTTATGTAGTCCAGGATGGCTTTGAACTCATAGAGATTCAGACTGATCTCTGCCTCCTGAGTGCTAGGAATAAAGGTGTGTGCTACCTCTGTCTGGCATCTATGCTTAATCTAGTGGCTTGTTCTGTTCTCTGATCTTCAGGCAAACTCATTGGGGTACACAATATATCACCACACCCTCCTGTGTCATGTAAAGAGGAGCTAGTCTGCTGAGGATTTCAATGAATGCAAAATATGAGTACATCTTAAGTGCCAGCTTGCTTGTAGTATAACGCTTACACTTCAGCACCATATTTAAAAGCTAGGATAGTCCATAGTCACTGATGCCATTAGAACCCAGAGAAAGTAAAACAAATAATCAATCTATAAGCTTCAGATAAACAATGAGTATTGGGAGCTTTCTGTGGACTCATGTAAGAAAAATCTCAGTGTAGAGTAGAAACTATCCCCAAATTCCTTCTCTACCTGCCTCCAAGCTAAATGCTAAAAGCAACTGGCAATCCATTTCCTGGTTATAGACATTTATGTTGTATTCTGGGACATGTCTAGGGAAGTGTCTATCCTGAGTGAAAAGAGTGGTACCAGTCTCTCTTTCTGTTTCTCTACATATATCTCTACTTCTCCTTTTCTCTGAGTCTCTTTCTACCTCTTAGTCTCTGTCTCTTTCTATCTATACCTTTGTTTTTTATAATCTCTACCTTTATCTATATAACAGTGTTTTTATCCTTGTCAATGTTTCTCTATAGCTCTCATCTCAATATCTGTTTCCAGCTGCCCTCGCTTCCCGTTTGTGTGTGTGTTTCCATCTCTGGCTGTCTGTATTTTTCTTTCTTTCTTTCTCCTTCTCCCTCTCCTTCTCTCTTCTCATGTTTTATCTCTATCCACCCTTTCATATACTTCCTCCCTACCTTTGGTCTATAGAAGCCCTGCTGTGGGATGTGGTGTCTAGAGCTGTGACTCCAACTTCTTAATTACAAGCAATATGTCCAAGAACAAAGCACTTAAGGGATGTTAGGGATGGTGAAGGAAAGGCACTTATATTCTTCTCTTTAGTGTTATACCATCCTCTTAGAGCTACAAACACCACACCTATCCCAGTCACTATATTTACAAGACATCCAACCAGTGTTTTGTAGGGTTCTTCTATATTCATGACTTTCATAAGGGGAGAAAGGGGACGTATTATAACTTACTGCCTCAATGTCTGGGTCTCAAATAAAGCTTCATGTATGTAGAAGAAAAACTTATGCCACACTTACAAAACTTAGCTTCTTGTCCTTAAACACCCCCTCTACTAATGTCCTCACATGGAAAAAAGCTTCCTATCACCCACAAGGATTTATGTTTATGTGTACAAAAGAAAACTCAATATGTGAATATTTAATAATCAGAAGAAACCTTAGCTATCATTATTTCACTGAACATGGAAGACAGCAAACAATACTTGGAGCTTTGTCAAGGGTTTCTGAAAATATAACTTTCTAGATGTGGCATGTCTTTGTCCACTTAATGGGGTGAGAAGTATGTGGGACAACCAAGGCTAAATTTCCTAGGTAATGACTGTCTACCTCCAAATAATTCACATACCAAATTCTCAATAGAGAAAATGGCAGAATGTTCTGAGGTTTATATTCTGATTCTGCCATTATTTTAATTTTGCTTCTGTGTAAATGGACACTGATATGGATACATTCTTGCAAAAGAGGCTCATGATAGGATCTGTGGTAGTTAGGGTAAATGAAGATGGAAAGTTTGGCTGAGATAGAGCTCAGTTGAGTCTGTGCTGAGCTCTGGGATTGGGATGGCACTTCAGAATTGTCATGTGAAGGTCTATGTACTATATATAGACCATCTCTTGAACAAAGGCAATCCCAGGGTTGGGACATGATCTGGGGTAAAGTAGCTTCCTGTTAAGTTCAACATCCACAGAGAATAACACTCTTGAAAGAATCGGAGTATGCTGATTAAGGTCAAATGAGGTCTTTTCTGAGACTCAAAACAATCTTTTTTTTTTTTTTTTTTTTTTTTTGGTTTTTTTGAGACAGGGTTTCTCTGTGTAGCTTTGCGCCTTTCCTGGGACTCACTTGGTAGCCCAGGCTGGCCTCGAACTCACAGAAATCCGCCTGCCTCTGCCTCCCAAGTGCTGGGATTAAAGGCGTGCGCCACCACCGCCCGGCTCAAAACAATCTTTTAACTATATTCTCCTACACAACTAAAAAGCAAATAATATACTTCCAGTATAAGATGACACAGATTTTCATTTCATTATTAAAGGGAAGAATGGAAGGCATAATGAGGAAATACTAAAGCAAAGCAAGACTCAGAAGGGCAAATACCAAACCCTGTAGAGCCGTATCCCACATCAGAGACTTTTATGCCAAAGGGCTTAGAAGGCTCAGCCCCTTCAGTTTCACTGCCTGTATCATACATTTCTCTCTTGGACTGGTTCCTATATATTCAGCTCTTCCTGGTAGATGTTTTATCACTCTGGCATTTAGAACATATTGGGGTCTCCACTGACACTCTGGTTTCAGTTTCACAGATCATGTATTAACTTCTCATGGTCCCCTGGCTGCGTAGAGCCTTCTTCTCCTATCAACTCCAGCACTGAAACACTTTGCCTGGCCTCAGCAGCTCTCTAAAACAGCAGCAGGAAAATTAATGTCCCTGTCATTTTGACATCTTTCATGCCTCCAAAGCCACTGCCACGTGGATGACACTGTCAAGCTCACTTGAGCTGTCCCCACTTTCCCTTGAATCACTTTAGCAGCAACTTTTTTTTATTCAGTTGATTTCTAGCAGCAGAAAACTCATCAGATCTTCTCCTTTTATAGGTTGGAACCTTACCTGGGTGGGAGTCTTTTCCTCAGGTCACTTTTTTCACCGTTCCAATCCGAAGCAAATAGCTTCTCCTTAATGTCACCAATCTCCTCAACAATTAAAGTCTCCCTTTCAGCAAAAGCCTTGACCATAGCATTTAGCTTCCTATTGTTGTTTTGTTTTGTAACTTCAAACTGTACATCTTGTATTTAGTTTTGCTTCATTTTCTCTCTTGCTCTTTTTCATTGTAGACTTGCATAAGACTTACTGGTAATAACCATGCCACAGACTCAACATTATGCCATTATATTTTTTTCTCTGCCAAAGAAATTAGTCCATTGCTTCTTAATTTAGCAGCAGTCATGTTCTTAGGACAAGGGCAGAAGGCAGCCAGTTTCTTTGCCAAAATACCACAGGAATACCCACTAGCCCCACTTTTAATATTATTCAACCCTTGAGATAGGAATCTTCAATCCCCATTACTCTTAGCACTACTATCTTCCAGGTTCTATAAGGGCCAAAGTTAACTTATAAGCCCCATTTACCCAAAGACGGGTAACTTCCTGGAATTCTGGGGGCTGTGGTTCTTGAGATAACAAACCACATTTGTTTTCACTTCCCTAGACATGTTTGATCCAACTGCATTGGATGTACTCGATCTCATGGAAGGTATGTAAGCAGGAAATATGTCAGGATGTATGTATGCATTGATTGGATGTGGACAACAGCTACATAGGCAGGCAGGAAGTACAACATGATATATGCTTGCCCTGATTGGACCTGATGGGAAATGTAGTGGTCTTATGTGTTTGCTTTCATAAGCCTCTGCAAAATGTGATTTGTTGCCATTTTCTGGGAACTCTGGAGTGGATTTGGTCAGAGTCCATCATCCTAACCAGTATTTAATTAAGGCTTGCTTCAAATTTGGGTCCCAAACTGTGATAATGGCCTTATTCTCAACCAGTGGATTTAATATTAATGGCCTGAGAAGCTCTGGTTAAAATATCCAACTACTTTTCTAGTTCAAAGTTCCAATGTCTTCCATGTTCTTCTGAAAATCTATATGAACAGATTCTTTACAGCAACACCTTACTTCTGTTACTAACTCCTTTATTGGTTGCTTTTCTGTTGCTGTAATAAAACACCATGACCCAAATTGACTTATAGAAGAGTTTATTTGGGCTTACAGTTCCAGAGAGGTTAGAGTCCTCTGAAAGAGTTGGAAGCTGAGAGATCACACCTTCAAAGTGAAGCAGAAAAAGGAAATTCAAAACAGACAAGGCTATGGATTTTTCAAACTCAACTCTCAATGGCACAATTCTTTCTGCAATGCTACACTAACTCTCCAAACAGTGCCAACAACTGGGGTTCAAGTATTCAGATATGACATCTTAAGAGGGACATTTCTCATTTAAACCACTATACCACCCATTCTCAACTTTCATGCAGCAGATAATTATTATACCTTTAAGGTACTAGACTCTAGTTAGTGTATAAAGTTGAGTGAATTTGGGGATTTAAATGATATCTGAGAAATACAGACCTAATTATATTAATCATATTAATCTATCAACTGAGAGTGAATACATATATCTGAAGTATGAATCTAAATCTTATCAATAAAAAACCAGGAGTCAGATATCAAGGTAAAAGCTAGAAAAACAGAGAAGTAGAGCAGCAGCCACTAAACACTTTTTACTTCTCTGGATTCTCAGATCAAAAAGGGGTCGGGCTGAGATCCTATTTCCACCTACCTTATATTACTGTCTCCACTCTTGATTGTGCTGGGATTAAAGGCTTGAGCCTCCCAAGTGCTAGAATCAAAGGTGTAGCCTCCCAAGTGCTGGGATTAAAGGTGTGAGCCACTACTATCTGGCCTCTATGGTTAACTAGTGGCTAGCTCTGCCCTCTGATTCTAGGTAAGCTTTATTTTTCAAAACACAAACAAAATATCATACAACATATTTCTTTAATTTTAATTTTAAAATTTTCAGAAATAAATCCACAATGGGGAAGAAGAGGAGATTTTGTAAACTGAAAGGAAGATGGATGAAAATAGTCCATTCTGTATATAGAACTGCATCCTGACCAAAGTGAGAGAATATAGGACAACAAAATATTTCTTCAAGTGCACTTTTAACTTCTGAAGATAGTAAATTATCGAAGTAAAGTAAAACTTGTTTGAAACATGGAGAGGGAGCAAATAACATGTCAGAACAGTGGTGTTGGGGGAAGTGTTGTTGTTTGTTTTTGCTCTTTTGGGGCTCTACCACCCAGATCCCAAATAAATCACACATAGAGGCTTATTCTTAGTTGTAAATGCCCAGCCTTAGCTTGGCTTATTTCTTGCCAGCTTTCCTTAACTTCAATTATCCTATCTACTCTTTGCCTCTGGGCTTTTCCTGTTCTCTTCCTCTGGAAATCTTATTCTTATTCGGTGGCTTGCTGTGTATCTGGGTGGCTGGCCCCTGGAGTCTTCTTTCTTTGGCTACTTCTTCCTTCTTCCTTCCAGACTTCTCCTTCTTTTTATTCTCTTTGCCTTCCAGTCCTGCCTATCCTTTCTCCTGCCTTGTTATTGGCTGTTCAGTTCTTTATTAGACAATCAGGTGTTTTAGACAGGCAAAGTAATGCAGCTTCACAGAGTTAGACAAATTCAACATAAACAAAAGTAACACACCTTAAAATAGTATTCCACAATAGGACAGTAAGGCCAAGGGGTGTGGGGTGTGGATTTGGGCACTGGGATATGAAGAATGACTATAAGCACAGAATTATTGGGGACTCCCAGCTTTCTCTCCCCATCTATAATCTAACATTCATTCCCCTGGAGGTAAGACACTAAAAGATTCTTCTCTGAGAAGCTGGGTACTTTGGTGGAAATACTGAAAATGCCATGCTCGAGATACTAATGACAGAGATCCACAAAGAACCATAGTAGCCCAGTAACTGTCCACTAACAGTTGACAAACACCATTCCACTCTAAGCTTCCAGACATTTGCTTCCTTTTTAAAATGAGCACATAAAGGGATGGTAAGGTGACTTAGTCAATAAAATTCTTGATTTAAAAACATGAGTACCTGAGTTCAATTCCAAGACCCATGGCACTGCTTGGATTAAAACCTTACCTTGTGTCATTACTGAGGCTAAGAATCTATAGACAAACAGCTCATAGGCCCCAGAGGAGAAGCCACTAGTATTTTCCTGCTAAATTAGCACAGTATTATGCTGACTTCTAATGACTTATAATTAAACACACAGGTTAGAGCATCTCTCAACCCTCATCAGAGAAGATTCTTTGTGCAGCACAGAGTCCCACAGCTGGTCAAGATGAATAGAATAACAATGTGAAATCTCATCCCCACATGGGACATTCTGAGCACACCAAAAGAAAGGAAGTCAGAAATTCTGTTTTTATTAATCATTTACTTGCTTTGGCCTCTTTCCAGTCCTGGTGCAGTGCAAAGTTAGAATTGTTTCTCTCCTTAAGTAAACATTCTCCTTTTCAGTTACTATCCATGTGCCTCAGTCCAAATCTTTGTTTCAGGGTATAATAACTGGCAAATATCAGCAAACTCAGTTCTTCACATATAACAGAGAGACCAGATGCTATATGAGGCTGTTCCTGATACCTTTAAAGAGAATCACATCTCGGTTATTGTACTGCTTTGTTCTCTCTTCTTTATGCTTTTTAGCTGCCCTGGTTATATGTGTTGTGGATTTCTGCTGCTTTTTCACTTCTTCTATCTTAGGAACACTGTCTCTTCTTTATTATTCTGACTCTTCCTCTTTACTGTTATATAGAATGCTAAGCTTGAAATGATAGTTGGCTTCCTGTAATAACTGCACACAACACACTTGTCATATTTAGGTCACCTGAAAACTCAAGACGAACAGTGAAGTAAATATAAATTACTCATGGTCCATGACAGAGAATAGAGATCCTAACAAACATGGAAATGACTCCTCTCTGGACCCATAAAAGGTACACACACAAACCTGTTGAGGACAAATGGGACCCTTTAACATTCATTAGCAGAACCACCAAGTGCTCTGGAAAAGCACTGGGAGGCAGGTTTGTCACATGCCCTTTAGAAAAATCTCTAAACACACAAATCACTTTTCATAAGCAGCCTCTCCTTTGAGGGAAGAGGGGAATTTGAACAAATATAAATTATTATCTCCCATTATGTTCTGCTCTGAAAAGTTCCTGTTTTACGTTGTGATTAATTCTACACTCCTTTGCTTTTCTGGGGTTTCTCATTCAGGACTTCCTGATGGATCTGGCAAACGAAGGGAGAGGAGTTGTGGTAAGTGTGGGCATTGCCATTGGTTTATTGAATAAACATGCCCTGTTTATTGAAACCATGTATCACCAGTTACTCCAGCGATGCAAGGGCAGATTGTTAGACCTCCCGTGCCCCCAAGAAGCCACTCAAGGGTATTAGGTATCAAAGCTCAAAATCAAATCCATGATTTAAAGTAGACCCTGAACCCTTCTCAGAAGCCAGCAGCGTTTGTGCTCAGGGTGAGATGGACTGGATGATCCTAAAACTGCAGGATCATCAGAAAACCAAGGGTGCCATCTGGTGGTCATGATAGTAAAACTCCAGGTGCCGCTAACCTTGGGAACATTCTTTGTGAACACAGAATCAGCTGTGGATGCAGAATATGCTCTTAGGAATCGTGGGTTACCACCATTCTAAGGCTCGTAGAACATGGAGAAATAGGTATCAGGAAGTGAATGAGATCAGGAAAATTCAGTGAAAGGCTGCAAAATGCATTAATTAAAGATACCCTGTAGTTATTTACCCTGAGCCCTCATGAGACCCACCCCTTAAAACAATTAGTCAAGATAAGGAAAGGAGAACCAGAAGCCCCATGCATTACCTCTGAACAATTAATTATTGACATATTTTTAGTGAGGAATATTCAGTGGTCTTTGTGTGTACCAACTGCTGAGATGAGCAGAACTCACTGGCCTAGTTAATATCAGTGGGGGAAAAAGGAAGAACAAAAGACATGAACATAGAAGAGAGGATTTGGGGGAGAAGGAGGAAACAGGACAGGAGTGGCAGGGAGGTAGACAGTAAAGTGATCAGCATCTATCTTTATTTATTTATTTATTTATTTATTTATTTATTTTTTTGGTTTTTCGAGACAGGGTTTCTCTGCGTAGCTTTGCGACTTTCCTGGATCTCGATCTGTAGACCATGGCTCTGCCTCCCGAGTGCTGGGATTAAAGGTGTGCACCACCACCACCCAGCCTATCTTCTATGTATGCACAACTGTGTAAAAATATCATTAATCATTTTTAATAAGAATTTTCAGTGATTTGCTGTCTGGGAGCACTCTGTGAATCTCTGTTTTCAGATGTGATGTGTTAGCACATCCTTTGCTGTAGGGGTGGGGAAAGAAGTGATGGGAGCATTTCTTGCCCCTTCAAAGTTGTCTGTTATGAACCTAAGACACCCTTTCTGCCAACTTGAACACAATCCTGTGCTCCACTGAAACTCCTTTCAGGTAGAGAATTGAAGATGGATTTCCTGGACCCAGAGCAATATAAATCCAGAGCTGTTTGCATTTCGTTTTTATTGTCAGAGAAAATATCTGTGGTCCTATTTCATAGTGGAAAGCAGCCTGGTTCTGCCTGACATGTAAAACTGACCCCTAGGCTGGAATCCATAGGTTTGTGCTTGTGATCCAAATCCTTATCCTTGATATCTTGGAACTCACAGCAGACCTCTCAGTCATCCCCTACACCCCAGCTGTCATCCTCTGCTCCTCCTTAAATGGCCTCTTGCCCAGTAATTGTCATCTTAATTTGCACCCATTGGAACTGAGTTTTGTTCTTCGTTCCCTTCGACATCCACACCCAAATTCTTGACAAAGCTTGTAATCTACTCATCACATGCCCTGGGATCTTCCCTTTGCCTTGTCCCACTGTCCTACTGGGCTCAGGTCATTGTTACCCTCATCTGGAAAACTGTGGCAGCATTTACTGTTCTTCATGCTTCTCTGCATGCTTAGTGCATCTTCTTTCCACCACAGATACTCTTCATTTTTAGTAATATGCATACTATCATATTGACTTCTTTTTTTTTTTTTTTGGTTTTTCGAGACAGGGTTTCTCTGTGTAGCTTTGCGCCTTTCCTGGAACTCGCTATGGAGACCAGACTGGCCTCGAACTCACAGAGATCCGCCTGCCTCTGCCTCCCGAGTGCTGGGATTAAAGGCGTGCGCCACCACCGCCCGGCCATATTGACTTCTTGTAAAGCCTTCCAAAGGCCTAATGTTGCACTATGAATGATACAAAATCCTTATTGGAACATGTGTTATCTTGAATGAACTAATTGTTTTTTCATTCCTCCAACTTAGTCATCCTGACAACTCCAACCCTGACACTTCATTCAAGAATCTCAGCAAGCCAAATGAATTTTTTCTTGAGGGATTTTATGTGCTATTATTTGTTGTACATATCTCCCTTGGTTGCTACAACTGCTCTCTTCCCTTACTTCAGAGACTAGCTCAAATGTCACCCCTTGTATTGATAGCCTCTGGTGGTTCTTTCTCTATAAGGTATAATTTGTTTCTAAGCCCCTTGAGGACCACCCTGTGCTTCTCTCATTATCTAGAATGTATGCATATGCTCATAGTCATCCCTGGAAGATGGGCACATATTATAAACCTAGGATATCACATTATTGAATAAAAATTTCCTTTGAAGACAAATAAGTTCTCATGGAATGAAGACATCCTTGGTTAAAGATGTTATAATGGAATTCGGATTCCATTATGGATTGCAAATTCCCTTATGAGTTGAAAGTGTCTTTGTAAATCATTTAATTTCTAATGGAGTGAAGATGTCTTTATTTATGTGTCAGAGACAAAATGATAGCCAGTGGGCATCTTACATCATCTTAACTCAAAGGAGCAGTCATGGATTAGAGTATTCTCTGATTGTTGCAAAAAAATCAAAAGCATGGGAAAAAATTTTAGAGTGCAATTGAGAAACAATGAAAAATATAGCCCAGAAGGGGAGACAGAAGCACAGTTTTTTTAAAGCACAGCACTGAATTTGCATCAATGGGACATTCATTGCCACCTCTGTAACCCTATGTTGAAGGTATTGATGCAAAGGCAATGAATCACCAACCATCTCATATATCACCATGTTTTGTTCTGTTTCCCAAAATGTAGGTGGACATTTGTGAATGAGAAAATAATTCTTCATGTATTATAAGCAGACTTCAAATTCTTACATCTGAATGATCAATTAAATCCAATCCCCATCTTATGAAGGGCACCTCCTTGGAGATTCCAAGACCTCAGAGTTAGGTAGTGACAAAATCACAGTTGATATGATGGTCTGCACATTAACACCTCTCAGAATTTCATGTTGTCTCCTCAACTACACATGGTGGAACACAGTTCTTTGGAGTACTGACCCCTGTGATATTGGTAGCAACCTCAGCACAAATGATGTAGATACTCTGAGTGAAAGGAACAAGACATCAATGCTGAGTACATAGAGGTTGGTTCTAGATACCCCTTCCCAATCTCTGTCTGGGTGACTCAGCTTTGCCATGTTCCCATATATATTCACATAGAGTCACATAAGCACAAATACATATAAATATACACACAATCACATACACAGGCACAAATAATCTCTCTCTCTCTCTCTCAGAGACATACACAATGACAAACAGGTAGTAACACAGTGAATAACATATTCATACATTTCATACTGTGACACAAATGCATGCAACAATCACATAATCATATACTCTATATATACCATCATGTCACAATATAAGATGTAATTTGATGTTATTGGATATAAAGTCTGAGGAATGTCTTCTAGGGAACTCATTCAGGTGCATTGGGGTTCTTTGCTTATACCTTGTAAAGAAATTTCAGACTGATTCAGTATGAAATGAGGTTGAAATATATTAATGTTTTAAAAGTACGCTTATACTTAAGCTCGAACATTAAAAAGCAGATGTGCTTACATGTCTTTTTTTCACTTAAGAAGTTTTTTATTCATTTTACATATCAACAACAGATTTCCTTCTCATCCCTCCTCCCACTCTGACCCCCCATCTCCTCCTCCAGAAGGGTAAGCGCTCCCATGTAGAGTCAACATTCAATTGAAGCAGGACCAAGCGTGCCCTCCCATTCCACATTAAGGGTGAGCAAGGCATCCCACCATAGGTAATGGGCTCCAAAAAGCCAGCTCATGTACCAGGGATAGATCTTGATCCCACTGCTAGTGGACCCTCAAACAGAACAAGCTACACAACTGTCTCCTGTATGCAGGGGGCCTAGTCTAGTCCCATGCAGGTTCCATAGCTGTCACTCTAAAGTTTGTGAGTACTTACATGCTTGGATCAGTTGTTTTTGTGAATTTTCCCATCATGATCTTGACCCCCCTCGGTCATATAATCCCTCTGCTCTCTCTTCAACTGTACTCCCAGAGCTTGACCTGGTGCTTGGCTGTGGATCTCTGCATCTACTTCCATCAGTTACTGGATGAAGGCCCTGTGATAACAGTGTATTCACCAATCTGGTTACCAGGGTAAGCCAGCTCAGGCACACTCTCCACTATTGATAGCAGTCTAAGCTGGGGTCATCCTTATGTATTCCTTGGAATTTCCTTGGCATCAGGTTTCTCTCTAACCCAATATTGTCTCCCTCTATCAAGATATTTCTTTCATTTCTCTTCCACTCCATCTCTCACCCAGCTTGACCATCCCGTTCCCTCTTGTTCTCATCCCCCAACCCCCTCCTCTCCATTGCCTCACTTGTCTCCAGTTTACTCATGGAGATCTCATCTATTTCCCATTCCCAGGGTGATCTATGCATACCCCTAGGGTCCTCCCTGTTACCTAGCTTTTCTGGAGCTGTGAGTTGTAGTCTGGTTATTGTTTGCTTTACATCTAGTATCCACTTATGAGTGAGTACATACCATGTTTGTACTAAGTCTGGGTTACCTCACTCAGGATGATTTTTTTCTAGTTCCATAAATTTACCTGCAAATTTCCTGATGTCATTTTTTTTATTTCTTTTTTTCTTTTTTTTTTTTACAACTGAGTAATACTCCATTGTGTATATGGACCACATTTTCTTTATCCATTCTTCAGTTGAATGACATCTAGATTATTTTCAGGTTCTGGTTATTATGGATAATGCTGCTATGAACATCGTTGAGCAAGTATCCTTGTGGTATTATTGAGCACACCTTGGATATATACCCAAGAGTGGTATAAAGTGGTGAACTAACAAGACAACTCCACATAGTTCTGGTAGTTTAAAGGAGGTTTATGTTGGGGTAACTTAAAATCAGTAAAGGGGTTGGTTACAGGGTCCAGGAGAGGTGAGGTGCAGTCCAGTGTGGTTCTTTGGAGAACTCTGACTTGGTCTGCCCTCCAGGATCACAAGGAGCCAAGAGAGCCAGGACATATGCATCTTGGGTCTCAAGGTCTCCTGTCTCAGCCATGTCTCAGGGGCAGGTCATAGGCTTACAGGGAAGTTACTGGCTACTTCATTAGGGCCAGTACTTCAAGGTCAAAGCTGGAACAGCTACCCAATACATCTCCCCCTTTTGTCTAAAAAACAAAGTTCTAACATAATACAAAACTATATACAATAGGAATGATTGTCATATAAGAGATAATGACTTAGACAATATAGAACTACAACCAACAAGAACAACATCAAACAAGAGACACATACCAAAATCTAGAGAAGTCTGGGGCGTAGGTAAATGCACATATCAGAGATCATTCCAAAAGGTGTGCTATCCTGAAGAAGCTGAATCAAATACTTCATGTGTTCTAGCTAAGATACAAGACGATTGTAACTATAACTGTTAGTCTGTAATCCCATCAAAGATCTGAAAAGGAATATAATAATACCTGAGAAATGGGAGAAGGATATAAGCAACTTTTAGGAGTCTTGTGAGAGTAGAGAGATATATCAGGCAGCCTGGACAGTCACCTAAAGTTTTTCAGCATCATTGGTACATTCAAATTGGCTACAGGCCTAGAGTATCTGTCAGACCATTTACTGTCAGCAATCAAGGCAAGGGCAGTTCTTTGCTCACTAGACAATTTTTGTGCCAAGATGAAGACAAACTTCCAAACAGAAATGTCTCAGAAGCCCAACATTATCTCGGGATCAGATCAGTGCTGCCAGGAGCAATTGTGTCTCACATCAACAGAATTCTAAGTTATCAAAACATGTAAATGACATATTCTCTAGGTCTATGAAGTGTTTGAAGATTACCTATTCATCTGATATATGTTTCTGTAAGTCTGGATCTAAATAACATAACTATAGAGATGATAAGTATAGGTGACTATAAATCTGTAAGTCTTATCTACCTAGATAACCTAAGGACTAAGGCATCACATAAATAGGGTAAACAGTCTATAAGCAAATGTACAGTAAAAGGACAATGACCTCAAAATTGTGACAATACACAAAATAGCTAAAGAAGAGGTAGGAATGTATAGTGCAATATGCACTATGACAATAACCCTAAATATGTATCAATATACCAAGTATCCTAAACAGAGGTAGAACATACATATAGTATGACAAATATAATTTTACATTTGTATCAATATACAAACATTTCAAATAAGAGTAGAATTACATGTACATTATAACAAATATAATTCTGTATTTGTATAAATATACAAATTATCTTGAATAAGAATATAAAATAGTATACATTTGTATCAATATACAAGAATCCATAATAGTGCAATTTATCTAAGGCTGATATTTTACTAAATTAGTTTACTAGTTTATACAATAATCTGCCTTAATATCCTATACCTATCCATTCCTCTTTTTTCCTTTCTTAGGGGGAATACTGAGTCCAATATTTTCTTCCACCCCCAACCTTATAACCATTATCCATAACCCTGAGAAACATGCAACCTTTGGGAAAAAAGGGCATCATTTTCTTAGAATTGCTTCCTGATATTCAGGGGTGATGGTATCTCTATGGGGTCCTGAAAGAAAGCTCAGATAGTTAAATCTAAGTTGGACTAACTGTAGATTCTGAAGTCAGTCTCAGAGTAATGGGTAATGTTATCTGAGATTCTGGCTAGAAGTTTAGTATGATGAACCATCGTGTTATGGGATTATCTTGGAGAATTTTCAGTCCAAGGTTGATCATTTAGTAATGTTTGCGAATACCACGGCATCATTTTGGACTGGGTAGAGTTGTTGTGGGGCTACATCTTTCTTCTGGAGACTTCAGAGTTTGCTATTGGATTTTTTTTTACTGTGAAAAACTTGAATACTGATAATATTCAACTTTTGAAAATATGCTTATTAGAGCACCAACATACTGCTTATTTAGAGAAATCTCTCTTCAGATCCATATCAAACATCCCTTCTTGTGAAAAGTTCTAGAGAGAATAGGGGTAGATGGAACATATCTCAATATAATGAAAGCTATCAGGGACAGACCATAGAGAACATGATTCTAAAGGAAGAAAAACTGGGAGCAATCCCATTAAAACCAGGAACAAAACAAAGCTGTCCATTGCCTCCACCCCTATTAAATATTGTGCTCAATGTCTTAGATAGTAAAATATAATGAGAAGGGCATACTTCAAATACACATAGAAGGAGAAGAAGTCAAAGTATTCCTGTTTGTTTTATCCATGCAGAAATTAAGTTGTTGTACATAGAAGGCCACACATATTTGCCTGAAAACACATACAGTGTAAAACCATTTTCAGCAAATAACACATTCAAAATGCCCATAAAATTTCAGCATCATCTCTATACGATTACACAGAGAAGGTAATCATATAAATCATACCAGCAGAAATTTCTAAACAGGAAAAAGCCCTCATAGTAAATCAAACCAATGATGTAAAGACTCCTACTATGAAAACATCCAAACTCTGAAGAAACAAATCAATGCATATACTAGAAGATAAAAATACATTTCATGATGAAAAATAGTAGGAACTGATACTGTAAAAATCACTTTACTAGGTAGCCTTGACAATTTGCAATCCTGAGTAACCTGAGAGAAGCCTCAAGACAGAAACCGGCTAGATCAGCCTGGTCTATGGATACATCTGTGAAGGACTGTCTCAATTATTGATTGATCTGGGAGAATCTCGTCCAATGCAGACATTAACAGATGGTTTTAAGTTTATATTTTTGAAAAAGTAACTGAGCAAGTCAGAGGGTAAGCCACCAAGTAACTTTCAATATGATTCCTTTACTGAATGTGATAACTGCTGCTAATGGGTTTTGAAAAGTAATAATATATAATAAATAAATTAATTAATTAATTAATTAATTAATAAAGGTCTGCCATTGTCCACTTAAAGTTTATTTTAGAATGTTTGGCATAGGCAGACTTCTCTGTCCCACCTACAAGTTCCCAATAACCATACAGAGACTTAATATTAATTATAAATACTAGGCCAATAGCTTAGACTTGTTTTTAACTAGCTCTTATAACTTAAATTAACCAATATTTCTCATCTATGGTCTGCCACTTGGCTTGGTACCTTTTCTTAGTATGACAACTCCATTTCCTGTTTCTCCGTGTCTCCTGGCATCTCCTAAGACTCTTCCTCTTCCTCTTAGCACTATCTTTTTGTCTGCCAGTCCCACCTAACCTCTGCCTGTCCAGATATTGGCCAGTCAGCTTCTTTTTAAAACCAATCATGGTGACTTATGTTCACATAGTGTAAAGGGATATTCCTCAGTTGGTAAAAAGTACCAGAGAAAAGGGAATAACTTAATTCTTTCATATCCCATGAAATACAGTCCTTCTAGGAAGGATTCTGAATCATGACACTAGATGCTTCTTTCCTCTCATAACCCCAAGGAGAAATATTTTCTCTTTTTCTGGGACAATAAGAGTTCATTTTAGAGGTTATAGAAGTTTGAAAGCTCTGGGAAAAGCATCACATTGTATAGACTAGAATGACTAGCCTAGGAGAGCCTAGGAAGACAAAGAATATGTTCATGGCTCAACCTGGGGTCATGAGATAGCCTGGAGATATGAGGGATTCAGATGAATGGAAGACACAGGAGATGCAGAACTAGTGAGAAAATGCCCCAGGTGTAGACCATAAAGTGACAGAGTAGTAGCCAGATCTGTCATCCAGAAGGAGCTATGTGGAGAGATAAGGAGAGAGGAAACATAGAAGAGAGGGAGGGGCAAGGGAAATAGATGATGGGGGCTTGCAAGGAGACTATGCAAGTCAAGAGTGCAGGATAAAAGGGCCTTAGATTTACAGGCTGTATTCACTGCCTCATCCAGGCTTACTGCAGTTTTGCATACAAGACCATGGCTTGCCTACACCATTTTCCACTCTTC